TAGGTTGCCCAGGCTGGTCTCAAACTCCTGGCCTCAAGAGACCCTCCTGCCTTGGCCTCCCAAAGTGCTGGGATTACAGGTGTGAGCCACCACGCCTGGACTTCTTGAGTCTTTTCTGAGCATGCATCTTGCCCTGCATGTATATGGCTTTCTAAATTCCCTGATATTTAAGGGAGCTTTTCAGTTCCCCAAAGAATCTCTCCCCAGCTTTTCCTTACAACCTTTCAGCTTGTCTGTTGTTCATGTAAACTGTAATCTTTGCTCTGGACAGCAGGGGTTTGTTAATTCGCCTTTCAGTGTTTTGGAGAACTGTCCTCTAAGTAGAAGCTTTTCCATCCTGAGAGATTTCGGAGTTAGGCAAAACAAAAGCGAATGTCTGGCATCAGACATCAGACATGCCTAAAGAACTGGCATCAGTTCTTTGGGTAGTCCCCAGACAGGTCGGAACTGACAGATACAATCCTTTGAGAACAAAGTCTGCTTTGCTCCCTTGAGGACCAAAGGCTAGGGTCCCACATTGGGAATGTCATCTTCACACCACCACTGACCCAGAAGGGAAATGGAGCAAGGGCAGGTAAAACACTGCAAAACTCTCATTATTTTTAAGTTGCCACTTTCTTGATTCAGCACTTGCTTGGGGTTGTTGTAAATGTTTGATTATTTTCCAGAGTTCCAACAAAGGTGGTTCCAACAGTCGCTCATTTTTTCAGTTTGTTTTTTTTTTTTCAAAGGCACAGGCCCTTGGAGCTGTCTGTTTTACTACTTTTGCTTACATTCTATTAATATTGAGCTCCACGGAACCTCAGTTTATTCATCTGTAAAATGGGGTAGTGCCCAGGGCTTCTGCTTCACAAACTCTGGGGCTGCAATGGAAAGGGAGTCCAGGCCAGGTGCAGTGGCTCACGCCTGTAATTCCAACACTTTGGGAGGCCAAAGCGGGCAGATCACTTGAGGTCAGGAGTTCAAGACCAGCCTGACCAACATGGTGAAACCCCGTCTGTACTAAAAATATGATAAAATTAGCCAGGCATCATGGCACTTATCTGTAATCCCAGTTACTCAGGAGGCTGAGACAGGAGAATAACTTGAACCCAGGAGGCGGAGGTGGCAGTGAGCTGAGATTGTGCCTCTGCGCTCAAGCCTGGGTGATGGAGCAAGACTCTATCACAAAAAAAAAAAAAAAAAAAAAAAAAAAAAAAAAAAAAAAGGGGGGCATCCAGCCAGGTGACCTCAGTCAACAGTAGTTTGTTCAAGATACCTTGAGAAGAAAGAAAGAGCAAGAAGAACAAGGATGTCATCTGGCTCCATCTAGGATATCATGATGACTCTAGTGACCACAAAGCAATGCCCCATTCTATTATGTTGATGACCCTGCCTGTGACCTTGACCCTGCCTATGACCTATTCCTTCTAATGTGCCAGTAACCTCGAGACAACCCCCACTCATATTGTGGCTTCATTCTCCCAAGAGAGATGATCTGATTGGTTCTTCTCTTCAGGGAACCTGGACCAGGCCACCTCATAGGCTGCTGGCCAGTCAGTAGGTGGCTGCCATGGCTCAGACCCCGGCCCTGGTCCAGTCAGCCCTGGCCAGAGACGTCATTTCCATACAAAGCAGGGTGTGAGGGTTAGGTAGGGAGGCCTCTGGGGCCACTCAAAAGGGGCCAAACTCTGACAACATGTGGCATTTTGAGGCAGGTGGAAAAGCAGATCACAAATGTCAAATGCTTTTCATGTAGTAGAATTATTTTTATTTTTTATTTTTTATTTTTGAGATGGTCTTGCTCTGTCACCCAGGCTGGTGTGCAGTGGCAGAATCTTGGCTGACTGCAGCCTCCGCCTCCTGGGTTCCAGTGATTCTCCTGCCTCAGCCTCCCGGGTAGCTGGGATTACAGGCGCCCATCACCACTCCTGGCTAATTTTTGTATTTTTTTTTTAAATGAAAAATCATTTAATCTCTTTTCCTAAAGAAAGGATCCAGGCAGATACTTTATACCACATCTATATTCATTCCACATACATAAAAGCCACACTGTATTATATTACCCTGTTTTTTTTTTTTTTTTTTTTTTTTTTGAGGCGGAGTCTTGCTCTGTCACCCAGGCTGGAGTGCAGTGGCGCGATCTCGGCTCACTGCAAGCTCCGCCTCCCGGGTTCCCGCCATTCTCCTGCCTCAGCCTCCCAAGTAGCTGGGACTACAGGCGCCGCCACCACGCCCGGCTAATTTTTTTGTATTTTTAGTACAGACGGGGTTTCATTGTGTTAGCCAGGATATTACCCTGTTTTTATAGGGCTTGAGTACTTCCTTGGCTTCACCACAAAGAGGGTGTGGGTCCTTTGTGAATAAGGTCAGCACAGGCAGAGTTGTCTTAGAGGCAGAGCAGTTTCTCAGGAAGAGTCCAAAGGCGGATCTGGCAAGTTGCATGCTATTTCCTTGAAACCAGAGCATCTTAATTCTGATCCAGATGATTTCTCCCCTTTGAAATAATTGCAAACAAGATTAAAACTGTATTCAGGAACTATTCCAGCTGGCTTTTGGCTTCCTCTGATGTATGCTCCTGAGCCTCACGCCGCCAATGTCTCTGCTTCCGCCCTGTGCCCCTCTGCTTCCGCCCTGTGCCCTGTATTTTTAAAATATAGACCAGGTTTCACCATGTTAGCCAGGGTGGTCTCAAACTCCTGACGTCAAGTGATCCGCCCGCCTTGGCCTCTCAAGGTGCTGGGATTACAGGCGTGAGCCACCATGCCTGGCCTCACGTAGTAGAATTCCAGCTACCAGTCTCCTCTTCCATAAAAGGGTCAGCAACTTGAGGGTAAAGATGTCTCTTCACTGAGCCCAGCTCAGTGCCCTGTGCAGTGCAAGTGTTTGCTGATGGAAAATGGCTGCGTCTGCGGGAATCCGGGCCTGTTGGCAGAGCTGTGACAGGGTGGGGAGGCAGCAGTAGCTGGGGACTAGGCGCTGTCGGCAGAGCTGTGACAGGGTGGGGAGGCAGCAGTAGCCGGGGACTAGGCGCTGTCGGCAGAGCTGTGACAGGGTGGGGAGGCAGCAGTAGCCGGGGACTAGGCGCTGTCGGCAGAGCTGTGACAGGGTGGGGAGGCAGCAGTAGCTGGGGACTAGGCGTCAGGTGAGGGGCAGGCAGGTGTAGCCAACCAGTCCAGGAATGTTTCCAGCATCAAAGCCCCTGCATCCTGAGCTGATAAACTTGTGCTGGGTCTACTGGGAAGGAGGATGGGAAGACGGAATCCCAGGTTGTGACATCATAAGGACACCTGAGGGGTAAGTGTCCTCTTTTTGGGCCCCACCCTCCACTGGGCTTGCTCTGGGTGACGGGTGGCCCTAGTGGGTTTCCTGGGACTGTCTGGCCTGTGAGGTGGGCAGGTGGGTGTCTGCCTTCTTGGTCCCAGGTGGATCTGGCAGGTCTGGGGAGCTTTTGTTTTGTTTTGAGATGAAGTTTCACTCCTATTGCCCAGGCTGGAACACAATGGCGCGATCTCGGCTCACTGCAACCTCTGCCTCCTGGGTTCAAGTGATTCTCCTGCCTCAATCTCCCAAGTACTGGGATTACAGGCATGTGCCACCACACCTGGCTAATTTTGTATTTTTAGTAGAGATGGGGTTTCTCCATGTTGGTCAGGCTGGTCTCGAACTCCCGACCTCAGGTGATCTGCCCGCCTCGGCCTCCCAAAGTGCTGGGATTACATGAGCCACCGTGCCCGGCTTCTAGGGAGCTTTTAGGTACAATGGACAACAGTTGTCCTCTCCTCTGAAGGTAGAGAAGGAGAAGGGGACCCAGCAAGTATTGGGGTCCTGCCCCCAACAGTCCCAGTCAAACAGCACAGCTAGGCCTAGTGGTCTTGCAAGAGACTCCTAGGACTCCAACAACCGTTTCCCTAATATCATCAGAGGTGGTACTCTAGCTCCAACCTCACTCCAGGACTCCAGCTCAGGCAGGTCATAAAGAAAAGGGCCAATTTGAACCCAGGACTCTGGGTCAGCATGCATGCACTTGTCCACGAGGTTAGCTGGCCTCCATAGAGGCAGCCTCCCTCATCTCCTGTATCAGTCCTCCTCTGGAAGCCACTGTCTAGGCCCCATCACCTCCCCACTGGACTGCCGGGATCAACTCCTCTGTGGCTTCTCTGCTTCTGCCCTTCCTCCACCTCAGACTAGCAAACTCATATTCATCCCTCAGGGCCCAGCTGGGGAAATACCTCCTCCAGAATGACTGCCTGACTTCTCAGGTGGAATCAGTGGCTCCCTCGACATGCCTCTGCAGGGCCCTCACAAGACGTATCACAAGTTACATTTGGCTTCCTGTGGCCTTGGGAGTGGGGACTGTCTCCTTTGTTTCAGAGTCTCCAGCCTAGGCAGGGCCTGGCCGGGGCAGCTGCCTGTGAACAGTGCTTGAAGGAATGAATCCTTACTTGGGGTCTACCCTGTGGATTATTTCAGCAACCAAGGTCATATCTTGCCCATCTTCCTCTTTGATGCCAAGAGCCCCTGGCTTCTGAGCAGGTACCCTGTGCTGGCTGAGCATCCGATGTCTAATAGGTGTTCAGTGAATGTTCACAATGGCAGGTGGGCAGAAAACCGCTGCTTTTCTCTGGGATGGGCAGGGTAGTACAGGTGTGTGGTGAAGCAGACTTTCCTTCATCCTCTGTAGAACTGATGGGGTCGCCAAAGCCCTGCCCACACTGACTGCCTCTCTAAGGCCAGATTTCTGAGGAGAAGCGACCCTGGGGAGGCAGAGGATGCCAGTGAGAGCCCAGGGACTCATGGAGGGGGAGAGCAATAGTTGTCCATCAAACCAGGTGCTCTGCCCAGGAGCTCAGAGTTCCTTGCAGGTCAGTACCCCCCAGCTATCATGTGGTCCAGAGGACCCAGCACAGAGATGACCACCAATGCCTACCCCTCTCGGGGCCTCAGTCATCCCACCTGTCAATGGGGTACAATCTTTCCGACCCCACCCAGTTCACTGAGGCCAATAGAGCCAACAGCACTTCGGAAATAAAGACTTGGTGAACGCATCATACAAATAAATGGGGTTGTTATTAGACCCAAGAGCAGGGTCCGAAGGAGAAACAGCAAAAAGTGGGAGTAAGTGCCCAGGGCTCCTGCCCCGAACCCCTTGAGGAAAACAGAAACAGGTGTTGGGCAGGAAGAACAGCACCTACAGGGAGGAGGGAGATGGGGTTGGATCCCGGCTCTACCACGGACCAGTCACTTTCCCCAGGACTCAGTTTCCTCACCTGTATAATGGGGGAAGCACAATCCTTGCCCAGCTCCTTTCAAGGGCCTCAATTAGGCTTCGGTGAGAGAGTGGGTATGGAAGAGGTTTGCAAACTGTAAAGTGCAGTGCACACATGCAGGCTAGCTGTGGCTCTGGGGCCCAGGCCCAGCTGGGCTCTGTGGAGTGGGGACAGTAAGTGTTGGCAATGAAAACACTGCTTGAGGCTGAGCCTGGCCCTTTGAGCACTCTCAGGTCCTCAACACCTGTTTCTTCTTCCAGGTCCCCGCAACTTCCCTGGCACCTTTTACCCTGGGTCGCTGAGGCCTGGGAGGACGAGGAGCTCCTGCCCTGGGCTGGCCCCACCTCCCACTCTGAACCCTCTGGTTGCCTCTGCTCCTGGTGATGATGAACAAATGCAGACCTGGTGGTGGGGAGCGGCCATGCCCTGCACCCTCTCTTCTCTAGACATCACCCTTTCCATGAGGTCTTGTGCAAGTCACCCCCATTCCTGGGTGAGGATTAGAATGACCGGTGATGAATTCTTCCCCGCAGCACTCCAAGTGGATGAAGAGCAGCTCCTGCCCCCTGCTGGTAGCCCCAGGCCCAGAGGCCTCCACCCAGCAGAGGCCTAAGCCAAGCTCGCCATTCGCCCTGGGCTGGATCTCAGCTTCAGAAGGAGACGTTGAGAAGAGGCTGCCCAAGAGCCCGGAGGGGCCACTTCAGAGAAGCGCCTTGAAGAGGAAGGAGAGGGAGGCTCCACAGGAAAGTCCCAGGGCCAGGAAGAAGGTCATGAGGGCACCAGCCACCTCCCTCTCGTGTGGCAGCACCTGCCTAGAACACCCGGGAATAGGAGCTCTTAGAAAACGCTGGGTCCAAACCTAGATCCAGCTCCACCGCCCGCTGCCCATCCAGTCTGGGCTCTGTCACCAAAACTGGCCCCGTCTTTCTGGGCCTGTTTCCTGGTCTGTAAGTGAGGCTGCTGGATAAGGACGTCTCTCAGGGCCTCTGGATCCAACGTGATGGGATTCCAGATTCCACAGCCTGCCCTTTCCACAGTGCTCCCAACCTGTCTGCCCTGCCAGCTTCATTTTCTCTGGATTCTCCACTCCATTGCCCCTTGAGGAAATAGCCCATGAACCTTGTTTTTCGTCAAAACCTTAGCTCTCCTTCAACTGAGAATTTTACAGCTAGATGGGCCCTGAGGAATGACAGTTCAACCCATTTTTGTTTTACAGATGGGGAAACTGAGGCCCATTGAGGAGGCCCCAGAACCAGTGCCTGGGCTACTTTGCTGGGCAGGTTACCTCACTAGCCCAGTTCTCCTCTCCCCTGCAGTTGAGGGCTGGCCAGGCAAGGGGCGCCAGCAAGGCCTACAGACAGCTAAGGTTGGGCTGGCCAGAAGCAAGATGGGCCATCCCTCCCTCGAAGGCAGTCCCTTCCCAAAGACTGAACCCACCTCCCCACTCCCAGTCCCCCACCCCACCCCATTCCCCCGGACCTGGGCGCCAAGCACATGGTGAGGGACACCAGGTAGCCATTAGAAATGGCAAACAGCAGCATGAAGGTGATGAAGTAGGCATCCTGTGGGAAGAGGGTGGGCAGCCGGGACCTCTGGGGCACGTGGCACAGCATGAAGAGGGGCACGAACAGGAACCGCAGGCAGACCAGCAGGGGCAGCAGCCGGCTGTCCTCATCTGGCTGTGGCAGAGGCTGGGGTCAGTGTGGTCTCTGGACCCAGGTCTCTGCTCCAGGGCATCTCGGGACACCCATAGAGTACTTTTTATTTTTTTTCTTTTTTTTAGATGGAGTCTCACTCTGTTGCCCAGGCTGGAGTGCAGTGGCCCTGATCTCAGCTCACTGCAACCTCCACCTCCTGGGTTCAAGAAATCTTCCTGCCTCAGCCTCCTGAGTAGCTGGGACTATAGGCACCCACCGCCACCATGCCCAGATAAGTTTTGTATTTTTAGTAGAGACGGGGGTTTCATCATGTTGGCCCGGCTGGTCTCGAACTTCTGACCTCAAGTGATACACCCGCCTCGGCCTCCCAAAGTGCTGGGATTACAGGCGTGAGCCACCACACCCGGCCTCTTTTTTTCATTAAAAATGTGTGTGTGTGTGTGTGTGTGTGTGTGTGTACAGACAAGGTCTCACTGTGTTGCCCAGGCTGGTTTTGAACTCCTGAGCTTCAGCTCAAGCCATCCTCTTGCCTTGGCCTCCGAAAGTGCTCAGATTTTAGGTTTTGTTTTTTTTTTTTTTTTTTTGAGACACAGTCTCGCTCTGTCTCCCAGGCTGGAGAGCAGTGGTGCGATCTCGGCTCACTGCAGCTTCTGCCTCCCTGGGATTACAGGCATGTACCACCACGCCTAGTTAATTGTTATCTTTTTAGTAGATACGGGGTTTCACCATGTTGGCCAGGCTGGCCTCGAACTCCTGACCTCGTGATCCACCCACCTCGGCCTCCCAAAGTGCTGGGATTACAGGCGTGAGCTACTGCGTCCGGCCCCAAAGTGCTAGGATTATAGGCATGAGCCACCACGCCTGGCCCACCCATAGGATAGACCCATCTGTCACCCCCTGACCTCCTCTGACCTGACCTACCCTGTGAGCCAGTGAGGGAGGACCCACCGCTGGGGCCTGGGCCAAGGCCACCCAGCAATCAGGGACCGGCCTGGGGCTCACCTCTACCTTTCCCAGGCTCCAGCTTGTGCTCTCCACAGCATTTACAGTTTACATACTCGGTTCCTCAGAGCATCCCCTGGTGGTTCCCAGAACCCCCTGGGGGCAGATGGGGTTTCTGAGTGGGATCGGAAGCGGTAGATCAGCTCCTGTCCTGACTTGGATGAGACCAGCTCCTCTTTCACCTGCTTTATGTATTGTCTCTTTGGAAGATTTCATTTAAAGACACAGCACCATGGCTAAAACCAACCCCAAACCTAAGAATCTTGCTCAGTCCCTCACCTGGTGCAGGAACCTCCATGTAACATTCTCTGAGCAGCGAAGGCTGCATGCTGGGGACACAGAGGTCAGCTGGACGTGACTTTTGCTTTCAAGGAGCTCACGGTGCAAGCCCTGGCCTGCACACCTCCAGGGCCCAGGTGCTCCCTGCCGCTTGGCCAGTGGTTCCACTGCCAGGCCACTTGGACTACTGGAAAATCACCTCCATGCTCTTTCAAGACCTCGGATCCCAAACTGCTTCCTAAAACGTCAGATCACCCAGCCCTGGTGTGCTTACCCACAGGAAGTAAGAGGTCAGGCTCCGTCCCAGCCAGTCCATGATGTTGAAGAGGAGGAAGCAGCAGATGGGGTTGAAGAACTGACCTGGGAGGGAAAGGGCTGCAGCTCATACTGGTCCCCAATTCCCCTCTCCCGTCCTCTCCCCTTTGTACCCCCCGCCCTGCTGTCTTCTCCACTCCGACACTCACTCCACTTCCCGGGACTGGTGGAGCTGGTCACCATAGCTGTGATGGCAGGGAAGACGGACAGGGTGACTGTGAAGACCAACACAAGGCACAGCGCTGTCAGCCAGATCTGGGAGCCAGAGGCAGGGGTGTGAGCAGGCAGGGCAGTCCCAGGGCCCCACCCTCTTGCCCAAGCCCCATCTGGGAGCAGGACACTTGGGGTCTGGCCCAGCTGTGTCCCTGACCCACTATGACCCTATGACCTTGGGGGAGACAATGTGAACCCCATTATTCCCCAGGGATGGTGGTTGGGGCTATATCCAAGCCAAACCTTCTGGAAGACAACGAAGACTGAAGGTTTTCCTGACTTCTGGGGCTCATCTGGCTCTGATTCCGGCTCCTTCTCCAGGTCAAGATCCAGGGTCAGAGCTACCTTCTGGGAACTATCGGGAATCCCGTTCTCATCTGGGGGGAGGGG